GTAATTGTGTGTAGTGGGAACGCTAACCGTTATAAGGTGGATCAGGATCAGATCCACCTTTCTTGATCCTCCTCTGGAGTAGGATACAGATCCCCCAATTGGTGGATCAGATCTTGCAATTGGTGGATCACGATCAGATGGGAACGCAAAAGGTGGATCTGATCCGGCAATTTGTCCTGCCCAGAAAAAGGTACAGTTGACAATTGGTTATTGGAGGTTGCCCCTTCATGTAGGCCACACTGTGTTAGAGCCTTCCCGAACCAACAGGAAAGCAAATAAATAAACAATACCAAAGTTGTTGGCATTGCCATATTAAATGAAAGTAATTGACAACATGGAAAACAGTATATAGTATGCTGAGACTAGCGACCTTTTAAAAAATCTGTTGATAACTATACTTTCTGTATTCTTTTTGCACAGTGATAATGTTAAAGCAAATACCTTTCTGCCAAATTTGACATTCCTCCAACATAAAAGTTTCATCGGCACTCCTTTCACTGTTTTGGTGTTTTGCTTTAAATGATTCCACCAAATTTCAAAGTGCTCGGGTGTCACATCATGAAACTGTAGCATTTCCAGAGGAAATGTGATGGCAACATAAGGCGTTTCAAACATTTTGCCCAGGATTGCTGATTAATGTGTCAACAAAATCTCCTTACAGGTACTACTATGATGGAGATATGATCGCCAAGGTCCATGGGAAACGCTTTGTCTACAAGTTTGTCTGCGACCTCCGGCATCTCTTGGGCTACAGCGCGGAGGAACTATCTGCCCGAGTGGCACAGTGCAACAAGAACAAATCCAAAAAGGTCCCCATCCCCAGGAACCCTGTCGACGTCAACTCGCCCAAATACTACATTGAAAAAGTGATGACGAGTCTGGGTGCCAAACCCTGACCCTGCGGCTGACAAACTGAAATGCTGTCTGTATTGGGACGGTTGTATTCAAATGTGGAGTTTTGTACCTCATGCATTTGGGAAGTGCTGAGATCAGTGATGCTGATATTCAGAGGAACTCTGTTTAACAGCCTTCTTCACTTCTTTAATGAGCCCCGAGTGCAACCCAGAGAGGGCACAATTTTCCTAGCACCAGAGACTCCCCTGGTAGAAACTACACTTTCCTTGTTCACAAATGATTATGAAATGCATGCGTTCCGGTCGCGCAGCCACCAACAAAAATGAACACTCCCGACCAACATGGCTCTTTTCAAGTGATGGGAGGGTGCTTCTACTCACGCCAGATAAGAAGAGCCCGACTGTTTCCAGACAGACAGAAAATGCTCTGCGGTCTGCAATTACCGTGATGGAAAGTTCTTGTCGTGTGAGAGAATCGTGACCACTTCATCTTGCTTTGGATGTGAAGCAGAGACACGCGTAACCCTCTACAGTAAAGAGCAAGCAGCCTAGATCTGTGATCTAGAGAACTTAGGAGTTGATTCAGGACGATCAGTCCAGGTTCCTCTGTCGCTGACTTGCTGATCTTGTCAGTAGTCGGCAAGAGTACAAACAGTAATATACCCGAATGTGAATGATGCACAGGCTAACTACATGTACAGTTGACAATTATTTCCTGCAATAATGTGGGACATGATGTTTTTACACTCGAGTGACTCATAGCACCCGACATAAAGACAAAGGTGCTATGCTTCCCGGTGGTTATTTCCCACATCATGACGGTCAGGAATACCTTGGTTATACCTTTGTCTCGAATTCTTTGTGATATTTTCCCTCACCTGAAGGTCTGAAATGACATCAAAGCAACAGACATCTGGGCCTGCTGTATGTTGCACAGCTTGTGCCACTCTCACGGACTCGTTGCATCGGCCTAATCTGTTTGATTTTGTTGGTTGCAGGTGGTTTGCTCGAAAGCAATATCCTGATGTCTTAAAAAAAACATTTTCTGGAGGAAAGCCTGAATGTGTGTTCAAGCTTAGCAGACATTACTGTAAGGAATTTATATGAAGAAATGAACTTCAACCGTGAACAAAAAATGGCCACATTCAACTGCCGATTGTATCGTAGTGCCTTCACTAGAGTTTACTGTTTTGGTTGGTATGATAAAAGAAGCAGCAGTGCCAATGAATAGTCTGGTTAGCGGTCCCTATATTACAGTTTATTCTGTGGGTCAGGGACTAATCTGTAATATTACGATGTGATTTGATCGCCAGTGATGAGGGTGCAAACCGGTTTTGTTTTTTTTTTGCCGGTCATGTGATTGTTCTTGGCCAATGAAAAATACAGTATTCACGACAGAGGTATAACAAGTCAGATTTGGTAACTGCACAGTTTTTAGGCAGACTTTTTTGAGAAGACAGCATGTCCACATCTGGATAGTTACAACGCTGTACCATGTAGCTACAGTAATTATTGGGACAATAAAGACACCCTGCTAAACTCCTGAATTTTCTATTGCCATTTGTCAAGGAACTTTCCCTTTTTTTATAATTGTGGGTTTTGAAATTGCAGGGTTTACTGAATAAACTGTTTATCGTCCAACAGTCTGAAGCTTTTCATTAGTCTTTTTCTGTAGCTTACATGTAGATCCACAGTGACATGAATGAAACACTTTTTGGCGTCGCCTGATTTTCTTTTCGGGGGAGGGGAAAGCCACTCAACAGCAAACTGGCAAACCATAAACAGTGGAAATGTGTCGTCTTTCAAATGAAACTTACCGGTTTTCATTTCCATTTTTCTTTTTATTTCATTTGCCTTTTCTTTTCCCGCATTTCTTTCTTTTTTTCCCGAAGGGTTGCCTCCCCTTTTGCCTTTTTGCGACAACTATGTTCCAAATTGAAGATGTTGGTATTTCCATATGATAGACTGAAATATCTAAGGGTGAAGACTTGAGACATCAGCGGGATATACATATCAGGCCGACTGTGTATTTTTATTTAGGAAATTAAAAGCGTCTAAACTTTGGAAATGGTAGTAGCACCTTCCATGGAGGGTCTTCGGCTGATGAGGAAAAATGGACACAGTCATGTAACCATTTGAGTCCAAAATATTTGATTCACAACCTGGCAACACTGTGCTTGTAACGGACACTTCCTGCAACTGTTAATGCTCGATGACCGCCCACGTGAAAAGGCATAGACTCAGAGTAAGTCGCGCATTACTATGGGAAGTCACTCCAGTGTGGGCCTCTAGCTGGACCAAGAGAGGGCGGTACATGTATTTTCTTAGCAACGCAGGCTGCCTTTGGAGTGCACCACTACAGGTAAATCCCCATACTTCACAAATATTTTAAGATACTCACAACTCTCACAGGTGTTCCGGCTGCAAAGAAAAATGATGTTCCACATGTCCCCTTTCATTTTCCTTTCATTTTTCGGGGGGGGGGACCAATGAATTTTTGAGAAATTTTCACCAGAAGCAGACCACCCCTAAAATGAAGAAAATGTCCCTGTTTAGAAAAGTAGCCATTTTGAAAATTCATCCCTCTGCAAAATGGCTCAAAGAGTGCCGCTTTCGGACCCGATTGCGTCCAAATTGCTCAGAATTGGAAGCCCTGAGTCCGGCCCAGAGGGTCAGTCTCGTATTTCTTCGATTCCCCAGTTCCATGGCTCTCAGGACCCTAAAATATAGAATATATTGCTGCTCGGCGGGCATATTTCTGGCCTAAATACAAGGGTGCACCCTTTGGTTGCAAATGAACTTCGCTCAGGTGAAGGAACGACCAGGAAATGCATGCATTACGGTCTTATCGTTACCAACAAAATGAAAACTCCCTACCAGCATCGTTGTTTTAAACCATGAAGGAAGGGAAACCGTCCTTCATGTTTCAACCGATGAGCGGTTGCTTCCAGTCAGAACGAGTCCGGTAGAATCTTGCCTGTTGTATAAGGAACAGGAAACGATGCCCGCTCAACAAGCAAATAGAGCTGAAGCTGATAGCATTTTGCTTTTTATTCTTTTTAACCGAAAATAACTTGATCACTCAGTGAGGCTCCTATCTAGAATTTAATATAACAACGACTAATGTGAAATAAAGTGCCGCAAACTGATTTAGGCCTATTGATGGTAATCATTGAAAAATAAATTAACACACTGTGACCATCCAAGGCTTAGCAAGGATAGGTATTTGTGGTTTTTATTTTAGCGTCGCTACCGAAAAGGTTTCATGCTAAAGCATTGCTTTTGGCCTGACAAAAACTTAAATATTTAGCATCCAAATTGAAAGGCTAACCACACCCGTTAAAATTAAACTGCAGCTAGCTACCAGTCCCTAAATTAGGGACGAGAACTAGTCCAGCGTCCCAATTCCTAGGAAAAATACACACCCCTTCAAATCTGCAGCTGTTAATCCACTAAATGAATTAGACTAATGGTTACAAAGTAAAAATAGTCGCTGGCGGAGAAGGAACATTTTATTGTTGTTATTATTGTTCATTTAAAAAATTCAAACTTAGAAGCCCACAGGCCGAATTACATTTGAATTTACAAAATAAAAATTAAATAAAAAACATATATCAATATAATTATATTATTACATTACTATAAAATATATATCAAATAGTTCATTACATTAATTACAACGTTATTTCATTTAATTGTACAATTACAAAAGAAGGCATAAATATGGGGGAACATTATTTATTGGTAGACTACAAAAATGAGCACAAAAATCACAAATTAATTAATTTAATTTACTACATGTCTTGTGAGTCCTCTCCATCTGGGGATGTTCAAAGGCGTATTTACAAAGTTACATAAATATTACAATAAGAATTCGTCACAATTACAGTTAAATACAAAGTCATCAGAAGTCTAAAAGTTATAAGACAAATAGGACTAAGCAAATAAATGAGTTCACACAGTACACATGAAGCTTAAAATCACACAGCAAACAAAATTATGGATCAGGGTTCATGCCAACAAAGAGAACGCTTCAACTGGACACCGAAAAAATGAATGAATAAATAAATAAACTCAAAATAGACCCCAGCAAAATACATAATTAAAAATAAACAGTGGGATAAGACTGAGTATGTTAAGACTCAAATGCCGCTTTGAACTAGTGGATCTTCAGTTGTTTTTTGAAGGTACTCGTAAGGCGCATTCCACAACTTTGGGGGCTTAAACAAAGACACTCAAGGACAAATCAAGGAGAATGGTGTACCAGCCTACTATGAATGTAAAAGGTTAATATAATAGGGGATTGGGTTGTTTGCTGTAGACCTAATGGTAGTGATGCTTTTACTGTTTCGCAAATTCCTACCATGGCTTTCAAGCCCAGAAAGCCGGGGGAAACAATGCCTTAGCACAGGGATTGGACAGGATTTTTTTTGCAAAACTATGATGGCAAGTAGTGGACGAATTCTGAATAAGCGCAAACACCGTGCTAGCAATCGAAGGCAAGGTGATGGGGAGGTAACTACTGCAGGCCGTCCTTGAACCTTTCCTTTTAAAGAAAGGTAGAATTACACCATCCTTCCAGTCTGCCGCTACGTTGGAAAAGATCTTGCGAACTTGAAGAGCTCTGCTTATGGGCACCTAATGCAGCAGATTTTCAGTACTCGGACAACTTGACGAAACTGTTGTTGAAAAACATACGGCACTTGGTTTACAGATTGTTGTGGGATTGATCCCCCTGTGAATTCACTCTTCCTTGTTTTCAAGACCAAGGAGGCTTTTTTCAACGATGTTTCTCATAAAGACGCACTTTTTAGTATCGCCAGTAGGCCCCTCTCGTTGGTTTCGGTTGGCGAAGTTGACGGAGCACGCAAGTTTACAGCGCAATATTGTATAATTCCATTCGGCTGAACGAGAACGTGTCCCGAAGCTGAATTCAGGCGCAATTCCAACCATGACTCAGCAAGTTTTGATTTGAGGTAGAGATTCTGCATTTTGTTTTCCTCGGAATGAACAACCTTCGCTGAGTTGAAGCTTCAGCAGGTTTGTCATTGTTAGGCACCCCTTTCACCAGTCTTTTAAAGAGTTTGAGCGCTTTTGGTGCCTCAAATGATGCACAAAATAATGACAAGTGGTGAACTATAACGTACTTTCAAGTTTCGTTTTTCATTTTCGAAAAAAAATGGGACAGAATATTCAAACTTTTCAAAATGTTGGGGCTAAGTAGCCTCCACACTTCTTCGCCTACACGGCCTCGCTATGATATTGTTGTCCGGCAACATTTTAAACTACGGTATAATGTTTGTATGTAGTAAATAGCATGTAGTAAATAACTGCTTCAGTCTCATGGAATCCTAAAACAAGCTATTGTTTGCACATTTTGCAAACTGGATTTGTCAGGTGCATTGTGATTGACATGGTTTGTTTCTTCCACTGTAGCGTAAATCGTTCCGCAAATTGATCAGATATGGCTGCCGACAAGTCATTTTAGCAAGTAAAAGTCAAGTCACAAGAGCAGCACCTCTGATACGAGTTTTGAGCAACTCAACTCGACTCGTTTAGTCGTTTGATTAGTACGCATGCGCTTCATTGTTCAATATCCACACGTACTATTTCGACATGACAATTAAGCCATTTTGGGAAGTCGAAGTCGAGTCACAGTTAAAAAATATTCCAAGTTGTACGGTTAGTCCAAAACCTCGATGTTGAGACAGAAAGAGATAAATTTATAGTCCCTGCATAATATTCCTCACGTGATCAAAGCACAAATATCGTTATCATGAATTTGACTCCCACGCTCATTACACATACACACTATTTATGTCGTTTACTTTGTATAATTAATTGGGTCTCGTAGTCTTCTCGACGATCCCCGTATGATACATTTAGACGTTTCTAGCAAACTATGTAAATAGCTGACGTGTGGGTTGGTTTGCGCAACACGTAGGGCTACTGCGTTTAAACATTGTACTTCGGATAGTACACGTACATGTACATAGCGCCCGTACGTTATTAGTCACGGTCTTTTGTTCGACTCATTCCAACGCTTTGTTCAGGCTACCAGTGTCGCGGAACCAGACTCGGCGCTCTACCGTTGAAGCTTTTGAAAACGCCCATTCATTCCGGTCGCGTCATTTGAAAAAGGATAATAGTAGTATTGTGAAGGTATTCGTTGGTTGTGGGCTAGGCAGGGGGTACCTTCGTGGAATTTCTACTGGACAAGTGGGATATATTCGGCAGGTTTCTGTGCATATTTCGGTGTAAAACAGCTTTGCATTGGGACTTTTACGAGGTGAGTAGGCCTATACTGCCATATTTTAGTCGGGGATAATGCCTCGATTTAGGGTTGGTGTTGTGGAAGTTGCTTAACAGCTTTGTAGCCTATTAAAATAGTAGTAGAGGAGCGAGGATGCATATGGTGGGCCTGGCATGATGGGGTGATTCAGCTTTGTTGCGCCTAGGCCAAGATTGCAGTACGTGTATACGGGGTGCATATGCATTATCTTGGATCGGTGGGGTGGTACAGTACAGAATGGGAGATCTGTCGATGCTATCACTCCAGCTGTCCCATGCACTTACTAGTTCAAGTTGATGAATGGATATTCACCCGCGCGGTTCCGGTACATTTGTGATGCTAGAGGCCGCTCCAGCTTTTCTCCAAGTTCCACACAAATTCAGTGAGGCCTTGACCTAATAAGCCAGTATACAACTATCTTGTCATGTTATTAACTTGCTTGAAACCCTTGATTGTAGTCTATTAGTATTACTGAAAATAACGGAATTCTCTCCGACTTGTACCAATAAACTTCCCTTTAAAATGACATCGTTTGTTTCAAGATAATGTCAGTTCCGAAATACTTTCGACGAAATTTTATTTTCCATTGGTTTGTTTATTTTTTTAACTCGGTATTATTCAAAATGGAGACCAAATGATACATCCTGCATCCACCAGTTCTCATCATATATCATTCCAGTATTTCATGTTGCCGGAATACTGAAACGACACGAATGTGGGACTCAGAAAAATGTCCAATTTGGTTTGGGAAGCGAAATTGTTTTGACTTCCCGTAGACTGCACACAACTGCTGGTGTGAAGTCAGGATGTGACATTCTTCCACTTAGGTTTTTCCAAGTACATTCCGATTATTAAAAAAAAGAAGTTGATTCGTTGTTAATAGAAAAAACTGCTCAGTAGCAGTAATCCTAAAACTGTCAATTCCGAACTATTATTTCCATGATATTGATCCAATCTCTGACGTCATTTAAATGTGTAGGTTCTGACTTTCAGATTATGAAAAGGCTCCACTGTATATCTTTGACTTGTTTGTCCAAAGTAATCAGCTAATGAAATAGTACAGGTAAGCCTTCACCCAACTCAAAACAAATACATCCATGTACATGTACGTGTACTGTTATGATTGAAGATATCAAACTGTTACGTGCAACCTGAACTGATGAACGTATTTATGCTGTAGAAATGTGAAATCGTAGGACCATTTACATGTATTATGTAAAAGAACGACGAAAAAAATACCGATCAATGATTTGAGCAAACTGAGAGGTACAAAAACGTAGGCTTTCGACGCGTTAATCGACAGTCCTTGAAGCTTGCCCAAAATTTCTAAATAATACAATAACCCACATTCCATTCCTGTGAGCTATCATAATGACAAACTATTAAATCACACTTACATGTAGGCTTAGTCATTAAAATGCTTTTCCCATATCTATCAACCATGAAACACAAAAGCTTACGGGCACTGGAGTACGGGTTTAATGTTACCTGTCACCTAAAAAATATGTTTCTTGTCATGTCGATGTTTTCTCTATATGACGCATGCTGTGCGTAGCCTTGACTTTGCTTTGTAAGCCACAGCGCACGTACACTGCACTGCATAGTTTTCAACCACCGTGGGGAATAAAGGAAAAATAAAATAAACACACTTTGTTGATGGCGTGACCCTTGCTTCTGTGGATCTGACCTCTTAAAATTGGCGCTGTTGAGAAGTACACGTACAGTACAATCGCGCACACAGAAAAAACAAAGTTCTGCGTCTTCTGTCTGGGTTAAGTTAGTCAGCGGGCGCGATGGGATTAGATGTATCTCAGGATATGCGAGTCCCTCAGGAAGGACGTATTTTAAGATTTGTTTTATTTTCAATTCAGGATATTCATGATGAGAAACATTATTCGTTGACAAAGTCAGCCCTGTTTTGAGTTTAACGGTAGCAATTCCGATATAGTGTCTTACTTAAATGTCTGTGTCAGATCCAATATTTGTGCTGGTGAACTCGCCCAAAAGGTGAACACTTTCCAAGGCTACTGAATTCACTTTGCATTTGCGTTCACCCGAAGTATGAACAGGCCTGAATAATGGAATGAGTTTTTTTTGGGGGGGGGGTTTGGATATTCGCCGCATATGCGTACACGTATGTAGGCTACAGGCCTACATATACCTGCACGAGGCCATGATAATAGTGAACGGCGCAGACCAGAATGGCATCACAGTTTCGTGTATATGCTTCCGCAGCTGACGCCTCAATGGGTTCACACAGTGTGTAGTAACACACCTCACTTCGCATAATCGAGTGAAGCCAACGATTGCCGTGGGGTTTTCGCGGAGGCGTCGCATGGCACAAAATGTTCCTGAGATCACTGAGGCAGATATGTATTCCACCAACACAAAAAGAATACAACCCAAGTATCTTAGTTGCCATATAAGGAGATTGGTTTCTGACTGAAACACCCGCCTTTTGTTTTACAGGCACGCACTGACAGTTGGTACTCATTCCCTAAGACTTCAAGTACTTTCTGCTGATGTCCCATTACTTTTACGCATTTTGCGAACTTACTGCTTGTAAATGCAATCACCAGGAATATTATTGAGCTGTTTAAATGCCTACTGATCAGGAGATGCGTGGTGTTGGCAACAATTTGAGGTCAGAGTTTTGAGCGGATTTTCTGAATATAGCCCCCCCCAAAAAAAAAGGCAATGGAAAGAAGCTCTAAAACAAATTACATGCTTTGTCAGATCGACAACCGTTATTGGTTTGTCGTGTCGTTCAGACGTACGCTCTGAAAACATTACGTCTGCGTGTGCCCATTGTACCAACCATTTCCCCAATAAAAGTAGTCGCTACTGCGTTGCATAGACGCAACTTGCCTGAGACTAGAAGACATTTAGTCTTACTGTTGTTAATCCCATTTTTCCTGTCCTTGATCTTGGATGGAGTGTTGTGGCTTGCCACGTTCGCGCTCAAGTTAAGGACGCGTGTGGCAGTGTGGCATCCCTGCAGTAAGCGCTTGCGTACCTTACTTAAGCGCAAGCGTGGCAAGCAGCGGCACCCTATTGGTCATAGAGGAATGTAAAGCGAGCGTACCAACTGCTTGCGACCTGTAGGTTGGAAAATACAGTCCATATACATGTAATAGTGGTAGCCGTGAACATCAACGACACTTTTTGATATGTTGCAACTTACAAAGGCCGGCTCATTTCTTGTGAAAGCGAACATTAAGGTGAATTTGTGACGTCAGATAAACACATTTCAATTTTCAACTCGAGCAAATTTCGCTGCATTTTTTTTCATGACGCGAGGCTCTCTTCGCTTTTGCATGTACATGTATGAACCAGGTCTTTACGTGTCTGAATTTGCAGTGGCAAAGCAATTTTTAAACCAGCGTATTTCTCGTGTGGTGCGCTATTGCCATGATTGTATAGTTACATCTATTATCCTGGATTACTTCCTTGAATGGTTTTACTGAGAAGGAAGTTGTTGTACATGTACAAACCATATGTATATGTACACAACGATCAGACTTAGTTCAATAGGGGGTACATTGGAAGTAGGCCCCTAATTGTGAGTGATTCTGTCCGACAATGTGGGTATTTTCTTCTTCAAGTTTGGTTTGAAAGCTTCGAGAAAACTAACTACGAAAGTTTGCTCGATTGTCATTTTGGAAACACCTCATACTTTCTCAATCTACGTATTTCGGCAACTTTGGTGAAATTGGAGGACGGGTATAAAGGGCAAGATCTGAGGATGACTGTCAAAATGTCCCAAGACCGCACATGTACATTGCACTTGATCAGCTTTCTTACAACGAACTTGACACTTGGCCAATAGATACTCTACATGCTGTGCATATATTTTCCTACCTACAGTACAAGTTAGCTATCACTTAACATGCATCATAACATAACATTTCTTTCTAGGGTCGAGTGTATGCGAATCATGTCTGCCGGCAGACACGTTATGCACGTTGTATTAATGGTGAGAGCGCGCTTCGATACATTGTTCAAAGGTTGAATGGAAGTCGGTTGAATATAGTACATAGAGGACTAAATCAACATGGTCACAAAAGACAGCAGGGGACGTACCTGGGACTGGCAAATAAAGCAGGCTGCCACTTCCGATTGGGACAGTGATAGTATTTTGGCGGGCTTTGGGATCCATTCTTTAACATCCGTCAGCGTAAACTGCCGTGATTTTATAGACCCACTGGGCTCTTTCATCTTACTATTTATATATACCTGTATATCGTTACAGGCATTTTTTGGTAATCAGTGCGCACACGTACACATATTTAATTTACGAAATTAAAAGTACAATTGTTTATGGCAGTCACTCTCTGTGCGCCCCATGATATACAAAGACAGTGACAACAAAGTCGGGCTCAAAAAAGTGTAAGATCGAAGTTTGACAGTAAAGAAATGAGAGCTCCAACCGGACACAGTCGGTCACCGGCAAGAATATTTAACGCGACTGTGCTAGCCGCATTTATTTGCGGACTAGGGTCGATCATAAAATAGTCAACATTATTCCTTAGATGAGTTGAAGAGCTCACGTATACTTACTGGCGTTATAAATAATAACAATATTAACAAAAATAGATAATATATTGTACAGCTTAATATTTACTCAGTGGGGGTGCTTACTTTTATTCTTTCCACTAAAATTCAGTGCGTGTAGTGAATGTGCTTAGCTCGGAAGCACAAAATCAGAAATAGTAAGCATTCCGAGGGCAACTCAACTCTGTGAGCTCTGCCTGCTTTAAAGAATCTGCCATGTCAAAACTGATTTTTGCCAGCTTGCGATCTATGATGCTGTACAAAGGTCGCCAACAGAATGGGGCTTAACGGGCGTAGTACTGTATTAGTAGATTTAGCGCGTACATTCCACACATTCCATTCATTCAGACTCAATTGTACCTTCGCTCACCCGACGGCCGTTTCCTGTTTGGCACCCAGCCACTCTCCTGTTCAGCCAATCAGAGAAGAGAACTTGGGACTCGACGAACAGGTGTACGTGTAGTATTTGCTTCATGCCGCGGAATATACCGTACAGCGGGCCGACATCTTGTTATTCCGCCGATTAGCTAAGCGTTCTTCTCCGGCAGTCCGGGGTGATACTGCCATCCTTTTGAACATTGTCCGAGGTTGTTGCTCTCCGATTATTGTCTGTGACAGTGTCTGCTAAGGATTTGTGTGGTATGTTATTATTGCGATTTGGGGGAACATTCACATCATAGAGCAATGTACAAGACTGTGGAAAGCCGTCATGTTTCGCTACCTGTGGATAATCATCACGGGAGTTCGTATAGACAGCTTTGGGGCGTTCCGCGTTGACGAGATAACCATGATAATTAATGTTGTGTTGATGCAGTCACGGCAGTGTAGCTGTTAGTGTTACATATACAGTACATGTAATTACGAAATATGGAGGGCCCGACGTTTTGATCCTAGCAGAATCTTTATCAGAGGGAAAAATATGTCACCTTCAATTTTGCCTTCGAGAAAGATTCTGCTTGTACTAGGATGGATACGTCAGGCCCTCCAATTACGTGATTAGTATTGTAGGTCACTAGTCAGCAAGCAGTTTGCAATAGTTTTGTATTTACATGTACTACATGTAATTGTTAACATACGTGTACTTAAACATTTTGACCCTCATGTACCATGGAGGACATGTGTACATGTTTACCGTGCATGATTCCGTGCACATGGTTACCAATTATGAAGCTGAAACAAGTGAACAGCCTCTATTATTTTTCCTAATTGTGTTTTCTTGTGTAGCAGGTTGTATGTTTGTAAAGTCATTGACCACTGTGATTCATGCGTCAATTGTTGCCAATAACAACTGGTCATCAGCATTACCCATTCGTGTGTGGTTAGTTACATACATGTAGATGATTTCATCTCAAAGAAAGTGCATCTTTTTTACCAGGCTGTAATGTTATGTCATGGTAGTTACCTGCATTAGATTTAAACCCCTGAAGTGTTAAAGTGGAAGTTTTACCCTGAAAGTGGAATTTATATGTTTTGAATTTTTAATTACAGTATGTCACCTCACAGAAATCTGTTGCATGTGTCACCTTGATTTGGATAATGTTAAGACCATTTGAGTGATTTGTGGTGTCAAGCAGTGAGATCCTCACTGTTTGCAAACTGTACACCAAGTATTATGTATTAAATGGTGAGAGGGCTTTATAAAAGTTAAAAGGGTTTGCATCAATTGAGTGCAATTAAAACTGGCAGGTTGAAGGATTATGTGGCGATGTAACCATGGCACTGAGATTGTGTATGCGCTGGTGACAGATGAGCTTTTCATTTCAATTTATGACTTCACCTATTTGAGCCTTGACTTTTCCCCCCAATTCAAAACACCTGTTGTTTACTTCCAGCTTCTAGAGTACTTGTACATGTACCTCCTCAAGTCATAGGTTTAATTTATGGCACTGTGCAGCCTGCAGGCTCTTGGTGAAGTTTAATGTCATTTCTCAAGTATAGTTAAGACAACCCAGGTATACCTCTACGTGGTACATGTACAGTATATGCTTGGCAGGGTCATGACAGACAGACTGTGCTTGTAGCCTCTTGATTGCATTTAGGACATGCAGCCTTGAACTTCAAAATCTGACTGTAACAAAACACATTTCAGATTCAGTTGAATCTTCACATTTATACGGACATGCATAAAGACATTTTCCATGTACATGTGCATGGGAAGTTTGAAAAAATAAATCAGGTTTGGAGTTTGAGAAGGGAGGTGCAATCCCCCCCTCCCCGCCCTGGTCTTGGCTTTTTGAGAGTTAAACTGGGTTTGTTTGAAGTTCAGATTTGTGGAGTACAACAATAATGAAATATCATGGGTACATTTTTTTTCCTGATTCTGAGAGACGTTAACTTAGCATTTATACAATGTGGCAGAAACGTTTCTGTGATTCTTAGAGATAACAGAAGCACCAATTCATAACCCTGATGGGTTTGAGATTACACTGAAAGTAAGTCAGAACCATGAATACAAAAAGCTGCTGTTTCTGTCTGGGAATGCTACTGTAGATACCCCAGTCTCCCAAAATATTTACAACAACTGAGAGTGCCGCTGTCAAAGTGAATGAACAATCAATTTAGAGAATTGCTGGGAATATGGAAAGAGAACTTTCTATCCAAAAGTACAGTGTGTTAGGGAACAATGTAATGGGAACAGCTGTAAGGAGCATGCCCACTCGTTCCAGTATGGATTGCTACATGTTTATGTACCTGTCATAATTGATTCTCAAATTGCACTAGTGTCAGAGATTTTGCTTTTGAATTTTTGTGAGACAAAATAATGATACATGATGATGCAGCCATTAAAAGAACTGGTAACTCAGTTATCTTTTCATTTATTTATTGGTCTGTAGTGTGTTGAAAGCCTAAGAAAAACCTAGTCGCCATCATGACGTCTTTGTTCAAGAACGCCGCCAGCACCGTGCTGAACAAGATCAGCAAGGAGTCACTGAAATGCGGGCTCTGCCAAAACTTCTACTTCAAACCCAAAATTATGGACTGTGTCCACACCTTTTGTGAGGATTGTCTGCTCAAGTACCGCAACATGAAATATCCCAAGAATACCCGCATCCCTTGCCCGGTGTGCGGGGACGAGACGGAGCTCCCCATCGGAGGCATTCAAGGGCTAAAGTCCAATCTCCACCTGAGCGGTGTAGTGGAGGAGATGATTCTCCACGACCAGCTTCTTGGGGCCAAGGGGAAGAAGCTGGAGTGCGGAGGCTGTGACGAGAACAAGGAATCAGTGGCCCGCTGCATGGACTGTGACCACTTCCTCTGCCAGGGCTGCGTGGAAGCCCATAAGCGCTTCTCCATGATCAAGAACCACGTCATCGCCTCATTGGACGAGCTACGCACCGGGAAGATTGAGTTGAAGAGCCCCGCCCGCAAGAAGGCACCCGAGTGTGAGAACCACCCGGGCGAGAAGATCCGCTGCTTCTGTGAGACCTGTAGTGAGTTAATCTGCCTGGAGTGTGCCTTCTTGGGCCACGCCCGTCCCCAGCATGAGTCTGTCAGCATCAGGGAGGCAGCTAACCGCCGTAGGCAGAGCATGCGTGACTTCCTCCCCAAAACTGAGGAGGTAAGTGAAACATTCCAAAGAAGATAACACCTTCTCCATTTGCCTTGAACAGAAGTACCCCCCATATCAGTTGAAAAGAGCCATGCTGTTTGGTATGTTTCTTTTTTTAGTAGCGATGCCCGTGCAATACATGCCTCACGTAGCTGTTGCTGAAAAAGCAGGGTGCAATTCCCATCAAAGGAACTACAATTGCTGGGAAAATTACACCCTCTCTTGGTCCAGCTTGAGACCCATTCAAGGACACCACCCTTAAATTTTATCTTCCAATCGTCCCTATGGCTTTGTAGTCTAGAAACCATTGGAAACTTCACAATCTGGCATTCAATTATTGCAGTTTGAGGACTTCTTTTGAACACTTTGTTTTAAAAGTTTTGCTGGTATTAGTAAAAACAATGAGAGGAAATGAGTAGTTTGTTCAGATATACATGTAGTTTCTATGTTTAACCCTAACCCCCTAGGCTCCTGCACTAGAAAACATACTGAACCTCAC